GCCTGAATGTCTACGCATGAGTCACAGAAACCGTTGTTTCGAACTTAAAGCAAATTATTATATTACTAGCTTTCCGCCCGCGGCTTCACCCGCGTGGAATTTTGTCTGTCACAGAAAAACTTTATCGCGCGCGTCCCTGTTTCAAAAACCGGGATAAAAACTATCCTATGTTCTTTCCCGGGACTCAAACTATCTCTATGCCAAATTTCATCAAAATCGGTTGCGAGGTTTAAGCGGGAAAGCGTAACAGACAGACAGACAGACAGACAGACAGACAGACAGACAGACAGACAGACAGACAGACAGACAGAGTTACTTTCGCATTTATAATATTATATAGTTGGGATGACGATACGAAATCGATGTCTTTTTTTTGCGATACAGGCTGACTGTAAGGAGATTATACTGATTAGCCACATAAAAAGTATAACTGACGATCTACCGCTGGTTATACGAGTATTAGGAGAAGTTTTAACCAATCGTTAGTAGGTATTCAGAATACGTTGAATGGAAGGCAAGGTCGTTGCTTTTGAGACTAGTGCGCTCAGTTAAGTAGTGCAATGACTGTGGATGGGATTAAAATGTTCGCAACTGGTTGGCAGTGCAATGAGACATATTATCCTAAATCCATGGGTAATGCATAAGGGAGACTGAAAAGAGTTGTGATAGAGGAGGGTTGTGATATTGTCGATTTTTGACAAAACAAAACCTATTAACTATGAGCGAGCTCACAACTGTGTCACAACAGCGCGCATTTGTTAGCTCGAGACCTCAGATGGGATGGGAGATCATAGAAGGGAATAGATGTGAAACGGGAAACCCTTCTATGATCTGAGCTCGAGACGCACGAAAACGACACTCAAACAAAACACGCACTGTTACGAGCTCATAAGTTCCAAAAAATCGACAATGTCACAAGGTCACAACTCATATAATGTCCTTTTGAATAGTGCCTCTTTTATAAGGACGACAAAATTAAATGCCCGTTGAAGCAAGTGTGCACTAGGTTTAATTTCGCTTAATTTTCTCAAATCATGTGAGATCACGTAGCAAGTGTTAGCTGAACACCTGTTGAGGGTTAAGCTTGTCTTTTTAAGCCTGTTCTTTATAACTAAGGACATCTTGCCAAGGCAATAAGCTTGGAACAAGATGATTGGAATTTCAAAAGATACTTAACCTATGCATAATTTAGTCATTTTCGTTCCACAAGATAACATCTTTGAAAAAAGACACACTAATTGCATTTGCAAAATTAGTTAAATTCCTTAAGAATAGCCTAGGTAGGCACCTATCTTCGATCAGCATATTAAGCACTTAATATACAGGATGTCCCAAAAAGTAGTGTCAATCCGACGCGCCAGAAATTAAAGCATTAGGTACTATAGGGCTACCCAAACCGCCTCGACTATTTATAGTTTTCGAGTTATGATTTTGTTCCTGTATATGTACATATATGTATGTAATATCCTAAGGTTAATAAAGGTCATCATAAATATCATAATTTCTTAGGATACAGAGATATAGTATAATAGTTATGTAAAATACTCGCAAGTCGCAAAATCATTTTATCGCAACGTCTTCTAGTAGATTATTTCTACTGGTTTATTAAATGAAATGACAATCCCAAAACACGGTAGATATAATTTATTTTATAACAGTGTTTCATCCCTTAGTAGGTACATATACCTACCTATGTAGTTACAAAAGCTATAGTTAGAAAATGAGAAAAACTTTTTTTTTATCCACAACGAGGAAGCTCTTGGCCTGTAACTCACCTGATGGTAAGACGATCAGGCCGAAGGTGGAAGCGTGCTTTTTCATCCAACAATAACTGTGACATGCGAAAAAGTAACTTTATTTTGACTTATTAGTATTGTAGTCATCTAGGGAAGTTAAATTTACAGTTATCATACTACATTAGCAGTATTGTTAGATTAATTGAACTATGTAAGTAAGTAGTTACTAAGTACATACGCTGTTAAGTGTATGACAAAACCAAGGGACAGAACTCATTACTTAGGGTAAGAAGACGCCCAGCTATTAGCTGACACGAGGCTCGTAAAATGTCTTCATGTGGAGTGATTAAAATTCTAATGGCTCGTCCATGACACAAGTGAAAATGGAAACCTATAAGTTAGCCATATTCCGGTCCATCACCATTTGTCTGACACCATATTATTGCATTTTTCATACTCGGATATCTAGTTAAGTTGTTTATTTCGGCTAAAATTAAGCTCAATCTAACTCCGGGAAAGGCTAGTTCAATTACCTATTTAGTACGATTTTTAATTTTTAATAGGTAAGACAGATAGTGATAAAATACTAATATGCTTCATTTCAGCCAAATGACGTCCACTGCTAAACATAGGCCTCCTCCAAAGATTTCCTTAAATACTGTCATTAAAATTTCGTGAAAAATCGATAATACGAACCGAACGATATCGCATTAATTTACTATTGACACCTAGTTACTTACATGGCTAACTTTTGAAATATCGTAAGTATCGTATCGTCCACGATCTGACTGATTGATGAGACAGAATCAATTAAGTAAATGAAAACGGGACTTTAATCTTTCAATATGAAAGCCATCTTCATTTACTACAGCTAAGGTAAAAAAAGAGATCTTTGCTTCTGATACCTAATTTACAGTGCTCTCATTCATAGGTAAAAATAGTAAACATTATACCTATGTAGAGTGGGATAGGTATTTTGTTCTAATTCTGGATTATATTCACATACTAGCTTTCCGCCCGCGGCTTCGCCCGCGTGGAATTTTGTCTGTCACAGAAAAACTTTATCGCGCGCGTCCCTGTTTCTAAAACTATCCTATGTCATTTCCCGGGACTCAAACTATCTCTATGCCAAATTTAATCAAAATCGGTTCAGTGTTTTAGGCGTGAAAGAGAGACAGACAGACAGACAGAGTTACTTGCGCATTTATAATATTAGTATAGAAACTTACTAATAAATTACTCCTAAGTACGTCTAGTTATTGCCTATTCTTCAGAAAACATTTTATTTTTGTCTCCAGTCAATAACCGTTGTTAGCAGCTTAATTTCCACGCAATCCACCCTATCAGCATCGAGCCACCCTCTCCATTTTCATTTAATTATCTAGTTTACATTTTGAAAAAGGAGAACTCTATCAGCTTCGGATAATTTAATCGATTAAAACGATAGCATAATCGATTCCACGCCGCTTCATTAAACGCTTCAGGATTGAAAAACTTGTGACGCCTTTCAAACCTGCACGGGTCCCGTAGACCGGCTAATTGTATGGAACCCCGATGGTGAACGAGCCGAGACATAGAATCTTAATAAGCTTATGTAATTATCATCATCATCATCATTTCAGCCATAGGACGTTTACTGCTGAACATAGGCTTTCCACAATGGAAATATGACGTGATTTCCACAATGGCCGGTTGATGGCGGCCTGCATCCAGCGCCTTCCCGTTCCCGCTACATTTATGAGGTTGTCGGTTCACATTGTGGGTGGACGTCCTACGCTGCGCTCTCCGGTACGTGGCCTCCACTCCAGTCCAAAACCTTGCAGCCCCATCGGCCGTCAGTTCTACGTACTATGATGCCCTGCCCATTGCCACTTCAGCTTACTAATCCGTTGGCCTCCCTAAATATGGCGAGGTTTGAAATCAACTCCCTGTTTTTTATGAAAACCAACAGCATAAAATAAAAGGTAATGAGAAAGCTACAGCCGCAGTATTTAAGCTCTATCGATTTCTACGTGAAATGGCAAATTTTTAATGAAACCATTATAAGCATAGGCCTTTGAACAAATAGATTTCTTAAAGAAACTAAAATGTTTCTGTGCTTTTTTCTTTAGCTAGCCTTTGACTACTCTAATATTGGCCGTCGACTTTAGTGGCTGTGTAATCAGGCTCCTCATTCAATGACGGTCAGCAAACAGAGCCTGCCCAACTTGAGGCTTGAATATACCGGGACACTATGTCAACTTATTAGGTTATTAGCTTGAGGCTCAAAAAGTGACGATTTCTACGTAAGGAATGAATGAGTAAAGTTAACAGGCAATAAATTATGAATGTATGAAGACAATTTTGTAACTGAATCATGTGAAATTGAAACCTGCCTGGCGGACAGTTTTACAGTTTTCATAAATTGCCGTGATGCAATACGAATAATTATGTATAATTTAAGTATAAATAATTCGACGAGGCTTTGTTCTCAAAACTTATAAGAATCATCTATCTATAAAATTATTTTTAACTTACATTTTTTTTATTGACTCTGACACTGATGCCATCTACAATTTCTTTCCGTAATAAATATGTTGCAATAGCGCCATCTATGATATACGTCATGAACTTAATGTTATTTCATTTGTTAGTTCATAATTATACCACGAGCGCTAGTGTCGCAATTTTTCATAATGTTGCCATAATAAATAAAATCACTGTGTAGTAGTTTTATATTTTACTCTTAGATATTTTTCATTTAGGAGCCATCATCCAAATAGATTGAGGTTTCCGAACACATTATGTATATTTTACATTACAACAGTTCGAAGGCTAACTATGACAATACTTGGGTTCCGTTTACTGATCAAGATATTCATGGTAAGATAATTAATTTAACGAAGCTTGATTTAATTTTTGTTCTTTTTTTATATTTTAAAATAAAAAAACACATAAGTTTATTTATTGGGCTTTCAAATAACACCAATATTGCATTGGTGGAGCACCAGAAGAAAATCTGTGAAGTTATTGTCGCGGAAGGTGCGATTTCTTTGACGCCGAGTGTATGATTGCCACAACTTTCGACGTATATTATTATGCACAGTGAAAAATATTAAATGACATTTGTAATAAAAAAAGAAAAAGCTTAGAAAGTGGTTGCGAATGTTATTCCAAAAATAGCTCTTAAAAATATTTTTATTTAGTAGAAATTTTATTTTCGTAAATGGTATACCCGAATTGTCACTTTGACATTTGACGCCTTGCTTTCGTTTCGTTTCGTTGATTTGTTTCGTTCGATTCGTATTCGGTCGGCCGTCCGTCCGTTTGTGTGTTCGATATTTTTTTACGAACATACGATTGTGAATGGTGAATAGTGTTACGGCTTTGTTATTAACTCTATTGATGGATTTACTATTAATTTAATTTTAAAAAGTAAGCGTAAAATGTTATCATAACGCAAATGTAAAGAAGTTACTAAGCCGGAACACTGCGTACAATAAAAAATCGAATTATCTAGTCGCAATGGTGAAAGATGAACACAAATCTCGTTTTGTGTATGTATAACGCAGTGCCCTAACGCAAGCGTTAAGTGAAATGTGATTTAGTGCAACTTTTGACTAGGATTTTAAAGCTCCAGGTGAGAAGTGATGAATTAAAAACATTGGTTTCATTATCAGCTGATAGGACTGGCAAAGGCCCCGGTGCGTTGTTTATCATTGTTATTGAAGACAGATTTCAATACTGCTTAATTTAATTGACGTAAGAGAAACTCTTGCCTTTCAAGTATTTTTTGCTTGTGGTAAATGCTTTTGTTTGTTTATAAATATTTATAGTAGGTATTAGGAGCTAAAATGACTAGTGTAAAGGTTTCATAGTATTTCCCATGAGATCACGTAGTAAAATATTTCTTATTAAAGTAATGGATTAGCCCAACATCAGTGACTGCAGAAAAGTTTCTACCTGTTCACTAAAATCTTAATTATTTTGTTATCAAACATCTTTAAAATTCAGATTCTTAGCAAAGCTTAAAATGTCTAATTAATCTTTAAAAATATGTTTTTCTAATGTAACTATTTAGTCACACTGTTTAGTTAGGCAATTACCTTTTGAACTTGAATAAAAAAATATAGGAATCATGTCAAAGTAAAAACATCAACAACACAAGCATCTTGAACTACAATACATTTCTCCTAATCAACAATGATTTGGATGTACTTATGATTCAGGAAGTCAAGCCTTATCTAAGAAGGTGACTGACACAATAATTAATTAATACAACATAACAATTGGGCTAAAAGTATCATGTTTGTTTGTTTTACTTTAGTCTGTGTAAATATCAGATTGGATAGTAAATAAATGACATACTAATTTAATTATATGAAAGTTGCTATTTTGGGGCACAGCTGTTGTTACTTCTTATATTTAAATCCTTAATTTTGTAATTTTGAATACCATGTAATTTGACACAGCTTTAACCAATACCTTTGCAAAGGATTAGTATCTACAAAGATAAAACTAGTCATACCCTAGCACAATTTGTATTGATGTGAGCTGCTCACACCAAGACAATTTGTGCTAGGTGTTCACAGTGAGCACCTCAATAAATACTGGACATTTTTATCCTTATAAGAATTTCTATACTTTTACATATGGAAGTATTGTCCCTCTTCAAGCATCAGCAATAAATGAGATGCAATGAAGATTTTGAGTCCAATGCGGCAACTTTTGCCTATGTGATAACATTCTACATTCATACATACTTTCCTGATTTAATATTTCAGATTTATATGATAGTACAAGTCCTATTAGGTCCTATTATAATTTTTATAAATACTGCCATTACATAATATTCTCCTAGAAAAGATGCTGCTGTTATAAAATGTTACAAATATAATAATTGTGTTTGTTCAGGTGGGCGCTCGCAAACATGGCCGGTGATGAGTCCAGTGTGCGCGTTGCAGTCAGGTAAATTACGTTTGCATTGTTTTACATAATAGTTTATGGTAGATTTCATAATTTTATCTTCTTACTATTATTTTTAGCAATTAGTCCTGTTACAACAATTTTTAACTGAATTTTTTATTGCTATATGATCCTAAAACTAGAAATCTTGTAAGCATTTTTAATAGGATATGCACATAGGATGCCTCTATGTAACATTTATGAAGAAAACTTTAATATTATCAGTATCCTTAAACTTCAACTTGCAAATGATTTCCGAGAACTAAGATTACCTGTCATCTCAGTAAAAAAACATAATGAATCATTTTCAAAGAACTCCTTAGATTTATTTCTAAAGAGGCCGAAACGTTTTTAAAATATACATCTTATTCATAATTAATATTTTTCTTGATCATCACCTGATATGCAAGTAAAAAAACATCGTTTGTCAAGCTGCACTGTCACAGGCATTGCTTGATTGATTACTTATGATTATGCACTGCGCGCCCTATAATAAGACATTCACGCGAACTCTCTCACACGCGGGATTTCTCATGGAAGAAGAATCAAGAAACAGTAGAGTGCTACTACTAGTAGGTACTACTACCTATAAAATATGCTACATTCGATACGAAAAATGATATACCTAAATCATTACTATGTTCATTGACCATTTCTGTTGGTTTGCCTTCATTTCATTTATAGTCAATAGAGAGTGTTTACGCAAAGAAAGATGGTTCCAAATATAAACAACACCGCCAAAAGTTACGTGCGTTACGCGGAATATTAAGCAAGTCCAAATACAGAGTTTATGCTAATGCATGACCCACAGACTCGACACGACTTTGTTTGTGAAGTAATCGGGAGGCTGCCGCTAGTGCTAAAATTACCACGCATTTCGTAGGTAGAGAGAGTCGGCAATAAAGTTATCGTGCATTTTTAATCGAAAAAATGAAGCTAAAAGTAAACAAGGTATTAATAATGGTGCTGAAAGAGCGCCCGTTCAGTTCTGATCGCCAAATCAGACCCATTGTTATTTCCTTACACATTGTTTGTGTTATGGATGTAAATAATGATTTTTTCCAGTTATTTGTGTGGCGTTACATTCGTTCTAACATTTACGTGTCAAGACATCATGATCAAGGTAATATCGCAAAAAGATAGATGCCTCCTTTATTGACAAAAAATAATGTAATACGCTTAAATTTTGAAAAAATGGTTAAGCCTATGGAAAATAAATAAACTTCGAGGCTTATTCTACTATGAAAATTGCTACTCAGAGATGGACTGTTTGCACAATACTACGAAGATGTAAGCAAATGAACCCGGGGACTGTATTCGCACATTATTGTCAGTTAGCATAAACATTCGCCTCAGTAGAATATTTGCACAACACAGCTCTGAGCAAAGAATGTAGTAAACCGGTGTTGCATACCGCGTGCTCTATTACCATACTTGCGGTATGCCTTCCGAATCCTTTGCGTAACGGCGTTGTTATTGTACTGAGATTTAGCCTCGTTGTCTAAAATGGCGGTAATCGCAGCGACTAAGTCACTGACTGATTGACTGACCCACTCAATCATCACGAAATCTCAGAAACTACAGGTCTCAAATTTTTCCTTTTAGAACGTAGGTGATCCCTAAGACGGGATTTTACAAAATTCAATCTCTAAGGGGGTAAAACGGGATCCACGCGTACGAAGTGGCGGGCGGCCGCTAGTGCTTTACAGAAGTGCATTTTATGGAGTTATTTAAAAAAGGTAAATGCTACAGGCAACAGCCAATGACTCGCGTTCTCATAAGAGTCATTTTTAGTGGGTAAGAGTACCCTTTTCGTAGAGGCAGCCCCACAAATGACATAACCCACTAGCCGCCCCCGCGGCTAATGAGTACCTATGCAATTTCATGCATTTTCAGCCAATGACTCGCGTTCTCATAAGACTCATTTTTAGTAAGAGTACCCTTTTCGTAGAGGCAGCCCCACAAATGACATAACCCACTAGCCGCCCCCGCGGCTAATGAGTATGCAATTTCATGCATTTTGCAGACAAGAATAAAAGGAGGATAGGGACAGAGAACTAGATAGGAACCATAGGAAACTTCATATTATTATACTGGTTCGTGAACCAATGTTCGTATTTTTAACCTCATCTGGCGCTCTAGTTTTATTCAATATCTCAGGACATATAGAGCTACAAAAAAATCTATAACCTGATATAGGTTTCATGTTGAAACGTAGTGCTACGATTACTTTTACTACGATTTATAGAGTTCAGAAAAAATCGAATGTCATGACGCGAACGCCTTTTTAACACTTTTTAACAATTAATTAATCCAAGTTATTTTTGCACTGGTAAAGCAAAACATGTAAAAGTTGATGCACATGATATTTAACAAGTAGGTATATGTACTAAGCATTGGACCAATGTGACGTGTAGTTCGTAGCAGACCTTCAGTCTACAATACATTTATGTCGTATTGTATCTTGTTTAGACATCTAGTAGGTACCTAAGGATAATTGATTTTAAATTATTCTAACCTATGGGTAGTACCTACCTAGACCTAGAGCTATTATCGTCTACACGTTCCTACGTAGTAACTAGTTTGACCTTTATTCTACGCCGACCAAACTTCTATAAACTTCGTAAAATTACTTACAATCGGCCTTGGTATAGAGATAATTACTGTCCAACGTTTGTCAAGTTGACGATCATTAATTTATTGAGAACTTAATCGTCTTTCTGTTATTATATTAGGTACCTACTATTATTTTAAATAACAGGTACCTACATGCGAGTATGCGCCCGAATTTAGTAACTGACAAAGTAAAATTTTGGAAAATATTTTCAGGTATTGTTTTCCTACATTATTTTCGTTTTAAAAAGTAAAGTATGGTTTAAATGTAAATGTCACTTCACATCAAACGTCAATGTCAATGGTATATTAATTTGACAGGACCCTTGAAGTTTGAAGAAGGTAAATGAAACACGCAGCAACAGATTTCATACCTACATAGGATTTATTTTGAATGAAAACTTGACTCTACCAGCAATCGAACCAGTTTGCAATCTATCTTATCAAAAAATCATTCATTATTCACATAACATTCATATTATGAGAAATATTTTAATATTATCAAAATGTTTTCATTCATAAATGCGACTAATAAAATATTATAATGCTATTCCATATTTTATGCTAAATTATGCATTACTCGCTAGTCTCAACGGCTCTTCACGAATGGCATATTAAATCATATCCTATAATAAATTGTATTTCCACTGTCGATTCAAATTCACACATATAAACAATATTGTACTTACTACCTAGCAATGGAAGTTCAATTAAATGCTTCCAATTTTGAACCAAAAATATGCACGTTTACCTCAATATAGAGTGCATGACCTGATGATACCTAGGTATTTATGTAAAATACTAGTGTTGATATACATAGCAAAACACGACTCTCACTTAGATTCTGTCTGACACAAAGGGAAAAGTGAAGGAAGGACATCACTATTTCACGAACTCAATTGACTGGCTGGCTATCTATGTATTTTTATTTACTTCAAGCTAGATTCTGATTGTTTAATTTTCTGTCGATTAAAAACTAATTTGGTTTTCACGCCTTTAATGAAGTTTTTCTACAAGTTGTGTCGTGTTACAAAAGTTAATTAATTGCCTCTCGTCTCGTTTCGTCTTATTCCACAAAATAGCACTATGTACTGTAGACAAAATATTATACCGGATCCGAGAGCCACACCACAAGTCATGGCCAAACTGCAAAAACTGTTACCTACAGTAACACTCTTACGAATTTGCAACGGCCTTGGGATTCAAAAGAGATCCTTCAAGTCTGCCTACAAGAAAACGCAATAGTTAACCATATTTGCGAATTTCAATTTTAACGCGAACATTCGCGATTCTCAATGACACTTGAGGTGTGGCAGTGATGTAAGGCGTTGGTTTTGTAAGCAAAACTAATGTAACCATCGCCTCTTGACAATAAAAAGTGAATTAATATTCATTGTGCTGCAAAATGTTACTTGTAAGCTGAGGATTGGCTGTACCCAGTAGCAAACTAGCTAACAATAGGAGGTACTTTATCCGATGGACTTCAGAAACTCTACGTAGAGAAACTGGATTATGTCAACCTGTTACGGTTATTGTTGTTGATCTTTGGTTATTGTTCTTTCTTGATCTTATGAGTAACTAGCGGCCGCCCGCGACTTTATAAGCGTGGATCCCGTAGGGGTGGAGATTCGTAAACTCCGTTTTTAGTGAGCACCTACGTTCTAAAAGTATCCCCATGCAAAATTTGAGACTCCTAAGCACTTGTAGTTTCTGAGATTTCGTGATGAGTGAGTGAGTCAGCAGTCAGTCAATCAGTGACCTTTCGCTTTTATAAATATAGATGTACCTAATTAAGGCNGCTGCTACGGAACCCTTTGTGCGCGAGCCCGACTCGCACTTGGCCGGTTTTTCTATCTTCAGGTCTTTTCATGTCTGAATACCATGCTAATCCCATTCATGCAGCTGTTGATAGCGCAGCGCTTGCGTATGCCGAGCACGATCAAATTGATAATTCCAATGAAATTGTCGGTTTTATTGGCTGCGAAGTTATGTTTCTTGTGCTAATTTCGGTTTTTGTAACTTACGCACGTTCTATATTGTTGCATGTGTTTGTGACGCATTGCAAGAAATATGAATTTAAGTTACACAAGATATTCAAATGGTACCGTAACGCGTAATAATTGTCTATTTTTTTTTTGTAAAGACGACGTTTCTTAATTAGTAATTTAACTAATTTACATATACATATGTACATGTAATCTTGCAACCAAAGAACTGATTTGTTCGGCATCTTTGCAAGTAAATAAATTAGTTAAAACTTTACTTTTAAACAACCAAGTCCAAAGTGACAAAAACAGGTGATAAATGTATAAATAATCGATGATGTCATTTTAAAGGCAGACAAATACTTAACGTATTCGTAGAATAGGTGATACCTTGCAAAGTCTTCA